GCAGCTTCGGCATTAGGAGCCACTGAAGAGGAGTCTTTCCGCGTGGCAGACCCTAGTAGACCCATCTCCAGAATGGGATACGTTTCTCTCCAAACTAAGTGTATCCCCAGGGAGTTCCTCCCTCTGCCCACTTGAAAAGACAACTGCACCTTTCAGGTTCTATGAAACCCAGGCTCATTTATAGCTCTACTCCTCCAGACAAAGACCTGACTCGAAATAGATACTTCGAGTTGTAGACTTATTTTATGCATGAGCATAATGCATTCACACATGTCGGAGCACGTCTGCCTGATGGTCAAAAAATTACAAACATAGCAATACCTGCCGCCTCATGTTATGCTGTGAGCTATGAGGCTTTGGAGAACGCTGAGTTACGGTCTCTGCCCTCGCTGAGACTGATTCAGTCTCTTATAAACACCCTCCCTTATCACCTTCCACAAAATCCAGTCAAGTCGCGCATCTCAGATTTTCTGAAACTTTGATTGACAGTTTGCGAGGTCATGGGGAGTGAGCACATCAGATGTATCGCAGCATAGCCTTGTGACTGGAGTGCAATTGAACACCTGGTCCAGGTGCACATGGTGGCTGGGTGGGGTCCCTTGCGCTGCCATTGATGTGCATGTGGGAAGAGCAGGGGATCTGTCAATGATAGTAACACTTTTTAAAAAAGTGATTTCTAAGTATAGTCTGACTTATATTGCATTCTCTTGAATTTTGGTACTTTGTATTGAATTTTATTCCTACTTTACTACTGTTTAAGGCATTTCTGGTCTTAATGTCAGCCTGCCCTTATTATTGAATTTGTAAGATTTCTTAGCATTAAATGATCAAAATATGTGAATCACCATCATTATTTCATCATCTACCCTTCACCATGCTTTCTACTGCATCTCTGATTTTATGACAGTTATAAATGACACCAAGAAACTTATCTAAAATATATTCTGCAGCATAAAAATTAGGTATTTGGCTGCAAATTTATGGATTTAGCAACTTCTTTGCTAACTTAAGTTTTAAACTTTGTGTTTTTGAAATAATTTTGAATTTACATAAATGCCACGGAAATATTACACAGAGCTCCTGTGTATCCTGCACCGAGATTCTCCCATGTCAGCATTTCTGACCATCTGAGAGTCGCAGACATGATGTCCTAGTGCCCCCTAATACTTCTGTGTGTGTTTCCTGAGTACAAGGACACTTTCTTACCTGACCACAGGGCAACCATCAAAATCAGAAAGTTAGCATTAATCCAAGGCTACTATCTAGATCACAGGCCCCATTCAAGTTTTGCCAATTATCCCAACAGTGCCCCTTATGTCCAAGATCCAATCCAGGATCACATATTGTATTTAGTGGTCATGTCTTTTAGTCTCCTTCAGTCTGGATCGGTTCCTCATTTTCGCTTGTCCTTTATGAACTTGATCTTTTAAAAAAGCACAAGCGAGAACTTTACAGAATGTCTCTCAATTTGGGTTTGATGATGTCGCTCCTGATTTTGCACTTTCTTAGACAGACCACTGAAATGATACTCCGTGTCTGCTCAGTGCCTCGTAGCAGAAGCCACATAGTGTCCATTTGCCCTGTTCCCAGTTAGGTGAACTTTTATCACTTGGATAAGATTGGATCTGCCAGGTTTCTCCACTCTGATGTTAATAAGTATATTGCAATTATAAATCAATAAATAATTTATAAGTACTTTGTGGGGAAATACTTTGAGACTAGGTAAATACAGTTGATTCTGGTTATTTGCGGTAATTGTGTTCTGTAACATCACCATGAGCACTGAGTTAGCGAATACGGAAGCATTGCTCTAGGGGAAGTACCAGGTTGGATTCCTGTCACAACGTAATGGTCAACCCATCAATAATAACCTTGTTTTATCTGTGTTTCTGTTCAAAGACACCTTATTTAGTAGATAGTGTTGATTCATTAATATTGAACCCATGGCCAGTAGCACTATAACTCCTCTAACACACGTATTTTCTCCCTAAGGCACATCACAGCCTCTTGCACTTAGGAACACTAAACAACACTTTGGCACTATGCTTTGGAGGAGGAGTATTTTAAACAATGAAATCATCAAAAGCACAAAAATTGAAAAATGTGGCAATATATTGTGAAAAGGATGCTTGTTTACAGTATGAACGCTGAAACGGAAGGCAGAGTGTTGCCTTGTGCAACCTCAGCCAAGAATGTGTGAGTCTAGCAACTCACATTTTTTGCCACTCTGCACATGTCCTCAAATGACCACTCATGGCTAGTATTGATTTTAAGCTTACAAATAAATTTTAGCGAGTAAGTGAATTTGTGAATACTGAATCTGTGAATAATGAGGATTGACCATATCTTGTTTCTATTACACTTTCACTTACCACTTCTAGCATCCATTGTGCTCAAATTGTTCCAGATTTGGCCACTGGGAATCCTTCAAGCTGTCTTGCGTGTCCTGACATGTTCTCATCATTCTCTGAGCACTTCTTTACTTTCTTGTTCGACAAGATTTTCCAGGCTCATCTTCTATTTTCTCTGCCCCAGCTCTGAAGTTAGACATTTCTTCAAGGGGCTCTGGCTCCATTTGGTGGAAAATAGCACTTAGAAACTAAGAACTGGATGCTAGGTGGGCTCATTGCTACCAGGTGGTCATTACTTCTCAGCCCTGTTAGTAGACAGAGTTAGAAAACATGTGTATGTATACACACACACACACACACACTATCATCTGTCATCTTACCTATCTGTATCTATCTGTCTGTCTGTCTATCTATCTATCTATCCATCCATCCATCCATCTATCATCTCTCCTTCTCTCTCATGAATTCATACCAATACCTCTAGTTCCAATCTTATATCTAACTGTCCCTTTTCCATGTTTATAACTCTCTTCTCTGATAGTTAGAAACTGACTCCCATTATTCTCAATGTATTGACTTACTGCTCACTCCCCCTGTATGTAAACAGACTCCCAGCCCAACCAGCCAAAGACACAGCCCTGGGTACCTGGCCCCTACTCTTGCAGGGCATGTAGGCTGAAAATTTAGTCCCAACAAAGGGGGAGGAGGAAGGAAGAAGAAAGAAGGAAGCTATCTTAAAGTTGTTGAAAGTCTGAACTTTTGCTAAATACTTAAATAAAAGCAGGTTTTTTTTTTTTTAAATGAAAGAGAAGAGGGAAACGTCACATATATTTTTAGTTACCTTTGAAATTAGAAGGCTATTTTACCATTTCAAATGAGTATAAAAGAAAAACCAATTTTATATAACTAGTATCTTTTAAAATGTTCATGTGATATGTGTGTTATTTTCTTGGATAAAAACATCTTATTTTATATTTTTCCCAGATGTTTTAGATTCAACACATTGGCTTTTAATATACCAGCTAAACTTAATTTGAATCTTTAAATGTTGGTAGGAAATCTTAACCTTCTAATTTTTAAATTTTGGATATAACATTTTGATTTGCAGTGTTTACAAGAGAATATTGGGTAATTTTGTGAAGTACATTGATTAAATTTTTTCTGGTGTGTTTATCCATGTTAAAAAAAGTATGCGTCTTAATGTTCTTTTAAAATGTTCATTTAAACTTTAAACAATTAAATTAAGATATAAAACATTAAAATTAATTTACATTTAAAAATGATAATAGCAAATAGTCTTGACTTCCTAAGTTTTAAAATCCTGTGAAAAGGCTATAAATTATAGCTTTAATTACAGTTGCTGCTTAATTTTTATGAAACGATTTTATTATGTTGTATAATAAGGAGATAACTGTTCTGATAACTGAGATGACCATACATGTCAAAAATAATGCAGCTTACCTTTTCCATGAAGATATGTAAAGATTACATGAATGTAAATTAATTCACATTATAGACATGCAAAAAATACAAAACTATATACACAAGAATCTCCTTTTATTCTTCTCTTTACCAATCTTACTCCCATTCACAGAATTTCTTGGTGTTATATATATTAAGTATAAATTTGACTGCATATAAATACAATTTTTGGTTTGTTTGATTTTTGCTTAAATATTATACATAAATATATGACATATATTTACACACATGTATATGTATGCATATATATATTTCTGCAGAGGCTTGCTTTATTCATTAATAAAAGTATTTTTTGGAGTTCCTTTTATGCTAGTACAT